CTACATCTCCAGCAGCACCAGTTGGTCGCCCAAATGTGTAGCGAGATTCATATGGTAAAGGTGGAGGTCAGTACCAGAACATGTTGTATGCTCCCCAAGTACTCGTATGTTATCCAAGTACTGTCGTAACATAAAGACTCTTTTCACATTGTCACTAGTACGTTATGGCTATATTAGTTAGATGTTTATGTGTTTTTAGATCTGCGGGATACATTATGTTTTGTTACTCCTTATATAGCAGTAAACTTTTATATTAGCTCAGACACCATCTTATAACCCTTCTCAATCTCTACCTTAGTTGATGACCAAATTATATCTAGACGAGTGTATAGAAGTATCCCTATCAAAGACTCTCAAAATGTCACCTCAGTAGACTTTATAGAGTTAGAAATGGTAGTCTTTGATTTCATTCTAAGCATGGTTTGTTTATTTTCTTTTTAAGCCACAATCAATCATAGAAATAGGAATGCTTGTTTTCAATTTACAAATGAGCTAATCTTAGAATGGGAGGGTAGTATCTTAGAGCCTATCGGTCGAATCATTTCTTACCTTGAGTACTGTAACACAATCTCTAAGGGTTATCTCTATAATTTATTTTAGGTTAATAATTTATGTTTTGAAACCCTAACTGTTATGTCAGTTCCACTAATTAATGTGTGGCCAGAAGTGTTTCGAAAACATATTCCTGGACTTCCTCCATATGGTTTATCAATTTCAAAACTTATATCTTTCCACAATCCCAACCTATATTTATTCCTCTTTATGGAATGGCTCAAACTGATCTTATGGAGTTGAAATAGCAGTTGAAATACTTTCTAGATAAGGTCCTCATGAACCTAGTATTTTCCTATGGGGTGCACCAATGTTGTATGTGAAAAATAAAGATGGTGCTCTTAGGATATTCATTGACAATATGCAGTTGAACAAAGTCATAATCTATAAAAAAAAGTATCAAATCCGCAAGATTGATGACTTGTTTTACAAACTTCAGTGTGCTAGTCATTTGTTAAAGATAAACCTCAAGTCCGGTTATAAAGTCAGAGATATTGATATCCAAAATGAAATCTTAAGAATTTTGTATGATCATTACGAATTTATTCTTATGTCATTTGGACTAAACAATACTTAGGTATCTTTATTGGATTTGATAATCAGATTGTTCAAGAAGTATATGTACTTATTAGTTATCGTATTTATTGATGATATGCTCATTACACAAGGAATAAGGAACATCATGGGAATTGTTTGAGTGTTTGCCTTCTAACTCTAAAAGATCTTCATTTATTTACTATGTTTAGTGAATGTGATTTTTGGTTGCAATATATTGCTTTTCTTGGGTATACTGTATTTAGCGAAGGGATCCAAGTAGATTATATGAAAGTAAAAACATGAAACAATTTCCCAACGTACCTGACCTACAAATTTCAGACGTTTCATGGGTATGGAAGGTTCTGACACAAGGTCCACGAAACGACGTTTATCCATTACCTTTTCCATTGACTAAGTTAACTAAGAAAAAGATTAAGTTTTAATGGTCATATGATTACGATAAAATATTCATAGAACTAAAAAATTAGGTCGACTACAACTCCAAATTTCACTATACAAGATGGTTCATATGGTTATATTATATATTATGATGCATCTACAGTCGACCTAGATTGTGTGTTGATGTAGCGGGGTAAGTTTATAACTTATGCTTCTAGACTTCGTAAGGTGTAAGAAAATACTTATCCGACTCATGACCTATTGAAACAAGCAATGGTTTTTGCATTTAAGATTTGGAGACATTACTTGTATAGTGTTCATGTAGATGTGTTCACAGACCATACGAGCCTTCAATATATATTCACCTAGAAAGAGTTGAATCTTCTCCTACGGAAATTGATTTAGTTCCTCTAGTATTATAATATAAATGTGTTTTATCATCATGTTAAGGCCAATGTAGTAGTTGATGCTCTTTGTAGACTTTTTATGGATAGTATAGCACATATTAAGGAAGAAAAGAAAGAAGTAGCGAAGGATATTCAAAGGCTTGCTCATTTGGGAATTCTCCTTATGAGCATATCACATGATGTTGTAATCATTCAAATTGGTCGAAATCTTCATTGGTAGTGGAGGCTCAGAAAATCAAAAATTGATCCTATGTTTCTTAAACTAAGGGGTGCAGTCCATCAGATGAGAGTTGTGGTTTTCAACCTAGAGCGAGATGGTGTGCTTCTCTATAAAGGTCGATTATGTATTCATAAGGTGGGTGAGTTGAGACAATAGTTTCTTGCAGAAGACCATAACTACAGGTATTCTATTCCTCCGCCACTAAGATGTTGCGTCATTTGTGGGAAGTACTGGAATGATATGAAAAGGGATATAGCGGATTCTTTTGATAAGTGCCCTAAATGTCAGCAAGTGAAGGTAGAACATCAAAAACCATGAGGTATGTGTCAAGAGAAAAAAATTCCTCCTTGGATGTGTGAAGTGATCAACATGGACTTCATTACAGGTTTCCCTCGCACTCGTCGACAATATGACCCCATTTGGGTTATAGTTGATAAAGATACTAAGTCTGCGAAGTTTTTTGCTTTATAACCTATAGATTAGGCAGAGGACTATACTAAGCATTACATTAATGAGATAGTCAGATTTTATGGGGTTTCTTTGTCAATCATCCCAAATAGAGGTCCTCAGTTTACCTATAATTTCTAGAAGTATATTCAAAAAGGTCTTGGTACCGATGTTAATCTTAGAATATCAGTTCATACACATACGAATGGTCAGGCAGAACGTACCATTTACATCTTACAGAAATGCTGAGAACTTGTGCGATCAATTTCAAGTGTAGTTGTCACGATAACATTCCTCTTATAAAATTCTCCTATAATAATAACTACTATTCAAACATTCGAATAGGCCCTTACGAGTCATTGTATGGGCGTATATACTTAATAAAATCCAGAGTCGCCAGAAATCCTATTCAAGTGTAAAGAGAAGGGACTTGGAGTTCTGAGTTTATGAATGGGTGTTTCTAAAAATGTCATCAATGAAGGAGGTGATGATATTTGGAAACCAAGGGAATCTCATTCTTAGATATGTGGTCCCTTAAAACATCTTCAGGTGAAATGGTAATGTTTCTTATGAGTTAGAGTTGCCAGCAATACTGCTGCAATACATCCGGTCATTCAGATTTCGTTGTTTTAGAACTGTGTAGGTAATATAGCATATATTGTACCTTTAGTAAGTGTGGCTGTGAAAGATAGTCTTACTTATGAAGAGGTGACAGTTGAGATTCTTGATCGTCAGGTTCGAACGTTGAGAAATAAAGAAGTGGTTTCACGTAAGGTTTTGTGGATATGTCAGTCCATAAAGGGATTTACATGGGAAACAGAAGCAGTCATGAAGGCCAAGTATCCTCATCTCTTTCCTTCCGATTTTATTCTTGCTTGAGGTAATAGAACTTTTGTAGGTTTTTAGTCATTCATGCATAGTTTCATGATCCTTCGGTTTCTACTTGCATTTTCATCGTATTTGCATGTTCAAGGAACTTAGTTCAATCAAAAATTGGTTTCTAGTACTTAGTCTTAGGGTTTGAAGCTCTTTACCTCCCTATTCATCTACTTTAGTCTTTTTTTAAGGACTACTTCTCCCGAGGGTTTGATATTGTAACAGTTCAAAACCCAAACATAGAAAATACAAAAGCAAATTACAGAACCATTGAACCATGACAGGGTTTAGAGACCATGTTGACTTCCTTGTGGAGTTAGCCTTTCCAATAGAGGTGGACCAAGGGACACTTCATGGGTCGTGGACCACCTCACGGGTCGTATTGATACTCGTGGTAGCCAGATACAGTCCATAAGGCCCACATGTAATACCAAGGTTCCCTTCAGGTGTCCTCTTAATAACGACGATCCGTGGTGGCGCCCATTGAAGCCCTCCCAAGAAACAGCTTAGGATGACATCTATATGTCAACTCACGACCATACGCATGGACAATAGGTCAGACCACTCGCCTTATTCGTGGTCCATAGATTAGAATCAAAGTTCAGCCCCTCTAAACTACAGTCGACGCTACAAAGGACAGAACGTGGGTTAGTCCATGGACCATCAGTCAGCCCGTAGGTTGGTTTCAACAACCTTCAAGTCAGCAGCCGTTTGTTATGTTACCTATATGTTGGACCCATAAACTACGGAGTTTTTGTCAATTTTTGCCTAGAAACTAATTGTATCTTACCCTAATCAATCATTCACAAAAATCATTGAACCTTAGAGAAAATGAAGGAGAAAGAAGAGCCAGTATTCCTAAAGAATACACATCAAGATTTTTTCAGTCTCATCCCCGAAATTTAAAAATTTATCTCTTAATATTGTCACAAGGTATGTGGGATTCTCTAGTGGGTTTCTTCCACCCATTGCGTCCCTAGAATGATTCTTTACTCTCTCCACATTATTAAGACCTAGGGTTTCTGGAATTTCAACAGGTTATTGTGAATTAGTTATTTTAATGCTCCTAATCAGATTATCATGTGGTATTAATGCTTTGAATGCATAAACTTAAAACCCTCGTTATGTAGTTCTTTTAGTTCATGAATTACATTTGATAAGGTAAATAAATAGACATACATGCCTTAGTTTTCGAATGTTTCATTGTAAGATATAAAAGTTGCATTTTCAATTTTTCATGTTATATTGTTAAGCTATCCAATTTACTTCATTTACGCTAAGAATTTCACATATTAAGTTGGGAGTAGGCTTTATAGTGATTTGAACTTGGGTAAGTCACCCGAAAGTCAAAGATTTGCATTCCCTCATAAGTTTATAAGCCCCCTTTCTATGCATCAATTTACTAATCATGCGACTTTTCACGACCCGAGGGTATACCCTTGAAGAAATGGTATTCCCAAATAACCACATGGTGTATTCGACACACACACACACACACACACACACACACATATATATATGAAAAATAATGAAAAGTTTAAAAATTTTACAACATAGAAACATAGTTCAAAAAACATCTTTATTGAAAACATAGGAAACAATAAGTCTCGTTGTCTCCATCTTAGACACATGAATATCTTGTATCACGGCCCGTACATCAAAAAAATTGATATAACAAAGTCTAATACAATGTCTTTAACAAGAAAACCTAAACATGAATATGTCCCGAATTAATGAGGACATCCCCAACTTGCTTGAATGAATGCTAATATCCAAGCTTCACTTCAATTACTCCTCTCAATTTCCACCTACACCTTTAGAGATAAGAGAAAATATATGGAATTAGTACATTAGAGTGCACTAAGTATGGTTTAATGCAATAAAAACATACTAAAATGACATTTTGCTTTAAAGTATTCTTTCATGCTCTTTTTAAAGAAAACCTCATAACATAAGGATAAGCACCACTTCAAGTCAACATATACACATATAAATCGCATTCCAAAATATAGCATAAACTTCACTTCAAATCATATAAGCATATAAGTCTCCTACCAAGGTTATCCTAAGACCCCTTTGAGTAAGATATGAAGAGGCCTCCCATACAACTCCTTCACATACACCTAAGTGGTCCTTAAAACTACCTAAAGAAATATTATTCCTATTTTATCCATTAACTCCCTACCTAGAATTACTGTAAGACTCACCTAAGTGAGACATGAAGAGACCGCCTATACACAATTTGTAAGCCTACCTAAGCAATCCTCGAAGCTACTGAAGATAAGTATTTTTTATATTCACCTAAAGCAACATAAGTCAACTATGATTATCACGTCATTAAAGAGCCATTCAACATAGGAAATGACCTAGGGAACCTACACATTAACATATTTAAAGCCTACTCGTTCCATGTCTATTTAGCGTCACAATTCACTACCTAAACGTTATAGAACTTATCCAACAATAGAATTTATCCCACATGATGAGAATAGTATTAAGTGACATAGACCATACTAGCTAGGCATGGAATCGAGAGTCTACCCTACTCCGATGGAGGATGTTGTACTTGTCAAGGGTATAACTAGGACACATCCCATGTAGGAACATGGTTAAGGAATATCAAGGACTTCTTTATACGCTAGTATCAACTTAAGTAGAGTCACTCTCCAAGCATACTCACTAAGTGCTAGCCTTAGTTGTAATGGAGTAATTCAATCACAAGGGCATATGAAGAGGTACTATATAGTAGTCATAACAAAATCATAATGCACCTCACCATGAATGGGTCCATTAGGAATGCCAATAAGTCAAGAATTCATATTCATATTCTTAATGTATCAAGTAGAGGGACATAGGTCTACCAAAACAAGACACTTCATCATCATCTTATCACATGTACAATCACATTCAAGTAGGCACATAAGGACAACTAAGTCTACTACAAGTCACCCTATTCATTTATATGAAAACATAAAAATAATCCATCAAAAGCCTCATATATTCAAGTAGGAAAAATCATAGTTCAACATCAAGTATAAACACATATGGATATCATCCAAGTATATCATGATCACTTATAACCAATTAGGAATAAATATGCTTTCAATTCATTCATGCACATGCAAGTATATCATGACCACCTATAAGCAATTAGGAATAAATATGATTTCAATTCATTTATGCACATGTACCACATAAGACTTCACAGTGATCACCTATACAAGCTATATTAATAGATAACTTTACAATTCATAAAGTAATGCCGACAAGGCCACATTCTTCACATTTATAGCACATACACACCGCCACCATGAGTGGATCATACCAATCAACACAAATTAATGCTACTCATAATATAGAAGAGGTTAGGTAAACATATAAGCACTCCGTCAACAACATCTCCAATCCTTAGACAATCCAACCAATTAAATTCTCAAAAGCTCTTACCAATAGACATACACACCAATCCAAACCAATACTCAAAACATGCAATGATACAACATGATAGAATATGGAATTCATCAAATTAAGAAAGCATATATACAATTCTATCATAATTCATACATAATAGAATAGCCCAATTCAATCTACGTAAGAATTCAATGCAATAGAGACATTATAAAATCATCCATAACATAGTCAAAATTAGGATTTCATGATTTGCATGGGTTCATAGGAATTTTTGTCAAAAATTATTGAAGTAAAATCAATTATACCATAAATCATTTATTTGAATCATTTTAAGCAAGAATTCATGGCTAGATATAAAAATAGAAAGTATATCTTTTGAGACGTCTTAGAAAAGCCTTTTGAAGTTTGGCCCCTTAAAGAGAGAAGATTCAAGGATGAACACCATACCTTGATTGATGAAAATCCAAGAAAAGGGTGAAGAATTTATGGAGAAATCAATCTCCAAGCTACCACCTTGATTCAAGGTCCAATGGAGTTCTAGAGAATTCTATTTTGGGTCTTTGGATTTTGATTTGAAGAACGAGCTGAACATGGGGTTCTAGAATCATGAAGTCATTTAAAATGACCAAAAAGACCTTATTAACCACCCATTTTATTTTTACACTTCTAGGTGAAATTCCTAAAACACCCTTGCCTTGGCCGAGAAACCTGCAAAAAACTTGCAGGTGTCAATCGACGGACCAAATGAAGACCCTTAGATTAAACAACTGGCCGTGTTGCCACTCCATACCTTAATTCAAAGAATCTTAAAATGGGGTCTTTATATCCCACACCTTAGTGCGGAACAATATCGCCAATTTATGGGGAGTGTGGAACAACGGGCGTCGACTGCGTTCGTCAATTGGGACTTTTTTAGGAAGTATCAATCCCAAGTTTGGGTCCTCCTCAAGGTATCTGAGGGTGGTCCTTGTTGATTCGGGAATAAGCAAAACGAAAATGAGTTTTTTCTGTATTTATTCTTTGAGTTTGAGGTTGCAGATTGAATACGTCAAAATTCTTTTTATCAACATATCTTCGTTCTCGGTATCTTTGATTAGTTTTGTGTTTAATTTTATGAACCAATGAAATACCTATGGTTTGATAAATAATAAATAGTCCATTATCTTTTACAGACAACCGAATAGGTTCGATAATTAATATCCCCTTCTTCATCAAGTCTGTAAGAGGTAAATTCCCTGGACGTTTCAAACCCATATACACTCGTATAAAAGTTAATAACATCTTAAATCAGTTTGAACCAAAATGAACACGTAAAACATGCAAGGTCACACTAGAACACACAAGCACGTCTCAAGGATAACTTTTGAACGTCTTGGATGTTTGACCTCCAAACTCTTCCAAAATTAACACACTGCCATTAAAAACTATTATTAAACATTTTAAGACCTTATAACCTCATTTCACACATGTTAATCTCTAGCTTCATCTAATTTTTTAGAGGTGTTACACGATTGATTCCTCAACACCTTTAGCACGGAAGAATGGGTCCTCTCAATGGAGCATATAAACTAGAATCCACATTTAGATCATGTATTTTTTGTTGATAATTAGTATCTCCCAAAATCATATTCTAGTACCTTTACCAGATTATTAGTTACAGTTAAGTATTCGATTTCAGCATATTTTAAACATGTTGTTGCATTCAGTTAGTTCATGTTATGTATTTTAAGTTTAGTATCAATCTTACCTTATATTTTTGCTTAGTTATATTATCTGTTCAGTTATATATATATATTGTTCAGCGTTATTCTATCATCTATGCCTAGTACCTTTCAAGTACAAACGCATACTCTGTGCTACATCTTCTCATAATTTAGGACCCGTTTGGCTATAGATATCTTAAGTAATGTTTTGGAAGATATTAGGAAAATAGTGTTTGTCCATATGATCTGTCATTATTTGTAAAATATTTTTGGCAAATATTCCAAATTCCCAAATACTAGTTTTCTCTTGTATTTGAGTCAAATCTCATTAGTTGGATCTTTTAAAAATTAAATTTTTACACCAAACTTTCATCTTTTACAAAAAATATCCTCTATAGTGAGTGTTTGCATTGTAATGCATAATTTTTTAGTGAACACCAAAATAATGATTAAATATTCGGTGAATATGAAATTGATGATATGGTTATTGATGAAAATGATAAACAATCTCCTAAGCATAAAAAAGTCATGTCTTTTTTCTACTTCACGATGTATGGAATGATGTTTGGTTCACTCACTCCAAACTAACACATTGCTCTAGGGTCATGGACACTACTTGTTATTTGTTGCAACGAAGATCCAATTGAATTGTAATACAAACATACGATTAGTTTTGATAGTTTTTAAATTTTATGTGTGTAAATAATATTTTTCTTTAAAAAATGTGAAATATGTTTCCCAAATACTATGTCCCAACACAAGGTGAAATTTCATCCAATTTTCACCAAAATAATATTCGCAAAGTATATTTGAAACCTTTGACCAAATGCTAGCTTAGGTTCAGGGTCCTCAACATTCTAATCACGCATAGATTAGTCCCCAATCTCCATTTCAGCAAATTCAATGGTGAGTCCTTATTCTTTGAGAACCATTGACATGATTATCTTTATACTTTAGGTCTTCGTTTTAGTTTTCGGTAGATTTATATGGGGCATGCGTAACATTTCTAGTAAGTTAGAGGCTTTATTTTAGACACGGTTAGATCAAGTTTTAGCTTTCGAGTTTGATATTTTTTAGTTGTCATTAAACTAGAAGTATATTTATTCACATAAAAATGGGTATTCCCCAAACTTTCTTATTTAGTATGATTTGAACTCCCGCACAGTACTTTATTAATTTAGTTATCTTTATGTATGCTTATGATATGCCACTAGGGTTAGGTTGGGGTCACTTATGAGTCTAGGTCTTGTGTTTTCTTCATGGGGTAGACTCGGGGCGTTTTATTTCACCGATTAAAAGTAGGGTGAAATGTTCCCTCAGTGTCTCAAAAGTACGTGCCCCCATAGGAATATAAGTTCCTTCTGTTGGGCATTAGATTTAGTTATCACACCACTCATGCATTTATACCCCTGGAAACGTATATTAGGTTTTCTTAATAGAGGGTGTACATCAAACTCCACGATTAGCTCACGTGGTTTTACATCGGTCAATAGAAATACCTTCAGTGTGACTCTTAGTGAATTTGACCAAGTTTTAATTATATAATTTAGTATTCATTTTAGCATTTCTTGTTGATGATTAGCACTTGATCATGGAATTCACTTTAGTTTTTTAGTTATATTGAAGTACTTATATTCTTACTCAGTTATGTCTTTTCTTAGTTATGTTTTGTTCAGCCTTTACATATATATGTTCAACTTTGGATCTATATCATGCATTCTCACTATATTTCAAGTACTAACACAGACCATGTGCTACAACCTTTCAAGATGTAGGTTCAAGTACTCACAATATAGGCTGTTGTTAGATGGGTTCTTGGTTTGTATTCAAAATCTTTATGGTGAGTCCTCATACTTCCAGGACAATAGAAATGTTATCCTTTCATTCGTTATGTTTCAGTTTCAGTTTGTAAGCATTATCTAGCGAACATGTCCAGGCTACTCAACTTAGTTAGAGGTTTTTACAAAAATTAAAGTAAAATTAGCTTGGATTATTTAGTTTATCTTTCAGTTATCACTAAACACTTAGTATGTTTTATATATTCAAATTAGTTGGGTTGCTCTCCGTTTCAAATAGTCACTGTTTAGGTTGCGCATAGTTCATTTTAATGTTGTTATCTTTGGATATGTTTATGATATTCTAGACACATGGTTAGATTGGGGTCACTCTTGATGATAGGTCTCGTGTAATGTAATGGGAGTATCCTTGAGGCGTGATTAATCTAAAACTTCAAAGGTGAAAGAATGAGAACATCAAGTGTCGTCTTTCAGTTTCATCAAGTCTACAATACGACAAGCCTTGAAGATGGGGAATTGATAAATATTGAAATTTTGTAGAAATCTACAAGACGTGTTCAATTAGAATTATGCATCTAGAAGGTAAGTTTATTTTCAGTTAGAATTCTTTGAGGATACTAAATCCTAAATCCTAGTTTATGCTTATAAAAAGAATACTAAATACCCTATAAAGGCATCTCAAATATTCCTCAAATACATGGGATATTCATATATATGTCAAATTAAATCATTCTACTTTGAGAAATACGTCACTAACGATCTTCCAATTATGGATAAATCATAGGAGAGTAGAATCAAAGAATGAGCAGAATTGTACCCACACTATCTTGACTAATAAAATTATGTTTTTTCATAATTATTTTTTTTGGGGGGGGGGGGGATTATAATTTATTTATGTTACTTAAAAAAATTTTGCAAACAAATTAGCACGCCCAGTGGGAGAAAATTTTTCCCTTCATCTCTTCTCTCATGTATAAAATTTTATAATCGGAAGTTGAAAAGGTGCAAAAATGAGTATTTCAATCCTCGACTTTGAGTTTCATTGAGTCTACATTTCAGCAAGACATGAAGCACAAGTCATTAGTAGACATTGAAATGTTGTGAAATTCTACAAGGCATCTTCAATTCCAATCGGGATTCTAGAAGGTATGTTCGGTTTTCAATTAGAATATTAGAGGTAACTCAAAGCTAAACACTAGTTTATGCCTATAGAAAGGATATTAAAATTCCCTTAAAAGACATCTTGAATATTCTGTAATTTTATGGTATATTCATATAGAGGTCAAATTAAATCATGTAACTCTAGAAAAACTCCACTAGCGGCCCCCGAATCAATGATGAATCTTTGGAGAATAGAATCAAGGGGAAAACAGAATTGTACCCGCACTATCTTAAAGAAGAAAATTTTATTCTTCATATTTATTTGTGATTGTAATTTCATTTTTTTGCTACTTTAAAATTTGTTGCAAATGAATTGGCACGCCTAGTGGGACTAAATGTGTCGTTCATCTCTTCTCTCAAAAATAAAATATGAAAAATTGAAGCTGCAAAGGTGAAAATATGAGTACTTCGAGCCCTGTCTTTGATTTCATCGAGTCTACACTTCGACAAGACATAAGCTAGGGGGAATTTGTAGACATTGAAATTTTGTGGAATCCACAAGAGGCATTCAATAGGAATTAGACTACAGAATGTGCGTTCTGTTTCAATTCGAATTTTTTTTAGACAACTCTCACTAAATCCTGGACTATGCCTTTATAAATGTTATTAAATTCCATTAAAATACATCTCGAATATTTGAAAATTCATGAAATTTTCATATAGAGGTCAAATTAAATTATCCTAGTTCGAGAAATGTACACTAACGACCCTTGAATCATGGAGAAAACTTCGAAGAGAAGACTCATGGGACACACCAAATTGCACTTGCACTATCTTGATGAATAAAATTAGGTTTCTTCATATTTTTTTCTGATTGTAATTTATTTTTTGTCAATTGAAAATTTGTTGCAAACAAATTAGCATGATTAGTGGGACCAAAGG